CACAGCACGCTGGCAAGTCATCAAGGGGGATCTTGGGGAGCTGTGGTCGCAGGCCATCTGCAGGCCAGCTGCGTCTGCTTGTCTGACATAGTTCCCAGCAACCAAAAAGCAAGAGCACACGCTGCCACTCACACAGAGCGCCGTAACGAACCATGACGCTACAGGTCTCCCAAGGATGGGACCGACAGCTCTGGGCGGAATTTACGGACTGTGATCCTAACCGCATCCTCATTATCTGCCGATTAATTCTTGCTCTGACATCCTTATCCCACCCCACCCCCCTCCCACAACTTTCCCGCTATCATCATTCCTGCCAAGGGAAGTGCAAGCAATTGCTGGAAACTCTGGGCCGCAATCTCATCTATGCTGTCATCACTGTGCTGCATCACCCTCCTGCAAGCGGCTGTCCTCAGAGAGTGGTCCTGGGGCTCAGCGAGTGGTCCTGGGGCTCAGCGAATTTTCCGAGCCAGGCCGGGGGAGAAGAGCAGCCAGCGCTCCTGACAGGTGGTATGTCCTGGATGAGGAAATACGCGCACCACGTTCCATGGCAGGAGCACACCTGTGCAGTTAGCAGGATGAGCAGTTTCCGGCCCTCGCTTCACCCCAGACAAGGCTGGAGACAGAAGATTCGGTTGGAGGAGGGGAGGACTTACAAAAGCTCAGTGAGGAAGACAAAATGCAAAAAGCTTATTTGGGGGCAAAACATTCTGAGATCTGTGCACACAAGGGGTCTTCAAAAAGTTCATGGAATATGCATGTTAAGAAGAAAACTATGCAATGTTTCGTAGCAAAATAAAGCTAATTTAAGTCTCTTTCCAGTTGTCCATAGACTGTTGAAGTTCTCGCACAGACCGCAGCTGCTGTGGCGTCTCTGTGGGACTCTGCTTGTCCCTTCCGTCTGTTGTAGCCCACGACTTCCAGGTCTGCCGGTTCTATGGGCCTGGGAGCAGGCGGCTCCGGCGGCTTCAGCTGAGGCGGGGTGGGACTGCCACACAGGCTTTCTCCAGAGGGAGATGAACCATGCTCATTACAGGCTGCCCTTCTTGAAGCCCCCGCAGCCCCTGGGAGGCAGAAGCCCTTCCTCCCAAGGCTCCCCAGGCTGCCCCAGAAGGGAGCAGTGCTGCTTTTGCAACTGCAGTGGCAACCATCCAGACATTGCAGCCCCAGGGAGACAGGCTGCTGGCCAAGGTCAATGCTCTGTCCTTTCTGAGTTCTTGCAGGTCAGCAAGGGACCCGTGCACCCACTTCCCGCCCCTGCCTGGCTGTTTGTGGGAGGTCTGGTCACTCCCTACTCCAGCTCAACAAACACAGCAGCACCAGATTCCCTTTCCCAAGCAGCCTGCCAAGGAGGGAGGTTCTGAGCCAGGGAGTTTCCCTAACAAGTTGTAAAAGTTGCTCCTGATCACCCCATCTCGAAAGCAAAGAAACCTATACCGGGCAGGTGCCAAAAGCAAAAGGCTCTGGTGCTGTGCAATGCAGGGGTCCCCAAAGGATCTGGAAAATGCACATCCATTGACTTTGGATTCCACTCTCCCCCAAAATCTTGGAGGCCCCCATTATCAATGGCGGAATAAACAGATTTGTTCCCTAAACCAAGGACCTCCACGGGAACCCTGTGCCTCTGCTCCTTTTCTCTGTCTTGGATTCGGGGGACACTGGTGTGCAGATCACCCAGGCAGTGCCCCCAGAGGGGTGATGATTCATCCCCACCAGGTTTCCCTCTGGGGACTTTGTTTCTTGTAAGAATTCCAGGTACAGTCGTTTGTCTCGTCCTACTTATTTATGTGTTTGGGAGGGAGCAGAGACAGAGAAAGATGGAGACAGGTATCTCCTATCCAACTGGTTTACTCTCCTAATCCAAATGTCCACAAGCAGCCCAGGACTGGGCCAGGGATTGAACGATCCAACGCAGGCCACAGGCATCTTCAATGCCAGGTTAAAAGCCTGCCCCATGCAACTTTGAGACCTGCATTACAGAAGGGGAGTGGATAATGCTCCCTCCTTCAGATGCCCCAGATGGGTGGATGGCTTTCTCACGGTTTTGCAATAAGTGGAGGAAGCAAGCCAGGCTTCTCGACCTCACAGCTCATTTATCCCAAGCACCAAATGTCCAACTACTCAACAGTGACCCGGGGAATTCTGACAGCAGGTGTATGGGAAGTGACCCGCTCAGGAGGAAGGCCGAGCCAAGAGGAAGTCTTCAGGGAGCAGCTGCTATTCCAAGAGCATCGCAGAGGGCAAGCTAAAACCACTGCTGTCCAGGAACAAGGAGCTGGCTTAGATCCTGGCTCCATCAGTCACTAGCTGGGCCGTCGAGACAGCTTATCTGTTTGCTTCCTTCCTCAGCCATAAATGAATTCAGCAATACCCACCTCACTCTTGAGTGGGACGTCGTAGGAATCAAAGGCTTCAGTGGAAAGAAAAGTGGTTTAATGGGGCCGGTGCTATGGCACAGTGGGCTAAGCCTCCACCTGTGGCGCTAACATCCCATATGGGCGCTTGTTCGTGTCCTGGCTACTCCTCTTCCAGTCCAGCTCCCTGCTATGGCCTGGGAAAGCAGTGGAAGAAGGCCCAAGGGCTTGGTCCCTGCACTCGCATGGGAGACCTGGAACAAGCTCCTGGCTCCTGGCTTGGGATTGACTTATCTCTGGCCGTTGCAGCCGTATGGGGAGTAAACCAGCGGATGGAAGAGCTCTCTCGTTCTCTCCACCTCTGCCTCTACCTCTCTGTAACTCTGCCTTATAAATACATAAATATCTACCTGTTTCATTAAAAAAAAAAAAAAAGTGAAGCCTAGTCCCCTTCCAGGCCACTCTGGCTGGAGCTCTCTGACTTAAATAAATCTCAAACAAACAAACAAACAAACAAAACAACAAGAATGCAACAATTTCTACAAATCAACAGACCTTCTAGATGAAGTATAAAAAACATCTGGGGGGAAGGTTGGGGAATTTGAAGAACAGAGATGATATCAAAGAATCCTGATTCAATTCTTAGATGTAGCAACGACACCAGATAGTGGTCACAGCGAAATATGCAGGCATGACAGGACACACCTGGCATTTGCCTTAAGGTATGAGCACACAGCCAAGGGACAGATGACGTTAAATGTGGCAACTTGTTCAGAACCACTGCATCTCAGTGGAAGGCACTTCAAACATTTTTGGAGAAAGGAATCAAAAGATAGGCCTTGGTGTAAAAATTTGAAACCCATGCAGTTTTTCATGATATGCATTTCATAAACTTCTTGGAGACCCCGTTGTATGCAGATTTCCAATTTTTTTTTGTACCAAACTAACGTATCTCTTCATTCCACTTTTCACAAACATTTTTAAGTACCTTATTATCCCTTCTGTCAACTTGGGTGCACATTTCTGAAATATTGTTGGGATTAAGAAATATTTTAAATAAATGATGCAGCATTTTCTGGGACATGAGCTCCACAGATGAGCATGTCCAGAGCACGGAAAATCTGCTCCCCCCTGGTACCAGGCCACTCCACTCTGGTCACCACAGGTCAGAGGACAAGGACTTGGGAAGGGGCCAAGAGAGACCAGGAAAGGAAGGAGGGAGGGTGTTGGAGTAGGGGGCGGGAAGGAGATAAACGTCAGTGACTTGAAGGAGCCCCTGCCTGGGAAGCACCCAGAGTCCAGCCAGCCACCGAAGCTTGCTCTCTCTGCAGACTCCAGTTCCATATTTGGCTTCTTCACTCAATGACTAAGTGAGTCACAGGGAAACAAGCAGATGCACACACAGAGAGGCCCTCTCAGACCTAATCCCCAGGGAAGGGAGGGGCCCTGAGAGCCGCCAGGAGCCCTGGGGTGCGTGCACATTGTCACCCCATGGGCAGGTACTAGGGACCCCTGACCCCGGATCCCAGTCAGTCACTCATTGGCCCCATAACACAATACAACATAAATAACTACGAAAAGCCCCCAAGGATGGCAAGCGAGCTCCGGAGTCCAGGGCACACGGGCCAGCTGTGGGTGTTGAGGAGGGGCCTGGCCTGATGGACCTGGGTTCGAATCCCATACTCACTAACCCCTGGCTTTGAACTTCTGTAGTGTTCCTCCCGTGCACAAGGCAATGAGCGGACCGATTTTAAGATCTCCACAGTGTCAGGACTGCAGCTCATTGCGGCCAGGTTTCTGCCCGTCAATACAGCTCCCTTGGGACTCCAGCTCGGTCCCCTCTGCCCCCGCGGCCGCCTCTCCACCGGGCACTCTCGCTGGGTTTTGTTGGGGCGGAGTGGACAGCGATGGAGAAGAAAGGGACCGCTTTGCTTTCAGCCAATCACTCTGTTCCGGCCCTCACGACAGCGGCACCTGGAGCTCGCAGACTTTGGCTGGGGAGAGGGGCGCAGTGGGCTAAGCGCCTGCGTAAAAGTTACAGGCACCGGGGTCGGGGCCTAAGACCGGAATAAACTGTACCCGGGCGACCCAGCGCGCACCTCAAGAGGTTCGCCGGCGCTGGTTCCTTCCGACTCCAGGGCCTTACAGGGAATAACAGCGGGACAGGGTCCCAGGTCCCCGGACACACCAGGGTTGACTTGAGAACGCGTCTCTGGCGTGCGGACCGCACCTCTCCTCCTAGAGCCCCTTACCCCGACGCGTCCAAGCCCCGCGCGCTCCCAGTCCCCAAAGCCACAGCTCCGTGGGCAACCCCGGCTCCACACCCCCCAAATTCAGAATCTGTCCAGAGGCGCAGCCCCCAGCACTCCTGGCTCCATGCTGCACCCTCAAGGGACCCGGCGCGCACCGAGGCTCCAAGGCGAGGAAGGGGAGAACCCAGCTCCCTGGTCCCGATTAAGTAGGGCTGGGCGGGGCCGCCCAGGCCGGAGTGGGGCCCCATCGCCTTGCACGTCCTCTCTCGCCGCTGCGCTCCCCCAGAACCCCAAGCACGGCCGAGAGGCGGCGGGGTGCGGAGCTTGGAGACCCGCGCACCGGTGCCCGCCTTCCCACGAACCGCTTCGGGAAGCCCAGCGCGGGAAGCGCCCTTACTTGGCAGCAGGGGTCCGGGGTGGCTGTGGCTGGGCCGGGTTGCGCTCTCCACGGGGGCCTCTATCTGCGCCGGTCGCCGCTGAGCCCAGGGTCGGAGAGCAGCCGCCAAGCAGAGTTCTCCGCGAGCTGGCCAAGGCGAGCCCCGAGGGGAGGAAGCCGCGCGCTCCAGTCGCCCGCGGACTTTTAACCGGAGCGGGGCGGCAAACCCCTCCCCGGGCCCACCCCCTTCCCCGCAGGCGGCCCCCGCCGCAGGCCCGGCCTCCAGCCCCCTTTTGTTGTAACCCCAGAGCTGCTGCTCCCGGGGCGCGAGGGGGCTGCGCGGCGCGGGGGCGGCTGCGCGCCAGCGGGGCAGCCCTGCCCTAGCTCTCCGCGCCCGCCCGGGTTTCCGGAGGGAGGAGGCTCTTCCTAGGGGAGACTCCACTACCCCCACCCCCGTGGTGCGCTCGGAATTTAACCCTTCGATGCCCTGGCCACTCGCCCAATCTGGCTCCTTAGCCCGGAAAACCCCAGCCCTCCCTGGCGCATAGTAGACACTCAATAAAAAGGTACCCATGAAGGTATTCAGAGAGACACTGCACCTCGCTATTCCCAGACCGGGACTCGAAACCAAACAGCCCCCTGTCTGCCACCAGACCGCGTCTGTGGCCTTGGCAGAGCCTGTCTCCTGTGGGCAAGTTTTCTGCCTTATACCTTGAAGGCTTAGGATTCTGTAACCGCCTAGGTCTTTCTCCCGAGCGCGGCGGGACCTGGATCAACCAGCCCTGCGCTCCTAGGGCTAAAGGAGGGGACAAGGCGCAGTGAGGTCTGTCCATGCCCGCTGCCTCTGAGGGTCCCCTAGGAGGCGCGCCCTGCGGGCTGGGAGAGCCGGCTGTGGACATCCTCAGAGTCCCTTAAGCAAGAGCAAGGCTTCGCCAGGTGGCCAGCTCTCCAAGGAGGGACCCGGAAAGGAGACTGTGCCTGCTCCTGGGAAGCCAGGGTCTGCGCCTTTGTTGAGGGTGGTGCGTGGAAGGCTGCCACCAAACACCAGAGCAAGGGGAGGGGTTCCTTGGTGGGGAAAACCTGACAGAGCAGAGGTAGGGGCAAAGAAGGAAAAGAGAGAGAGTAAGAGAGAGAGCCACCTGTTCAGGAACAGGTCCTTTTAAAACTTTGCCCTGGGGGCGGGGCAGGGAAGTAGGAGCAGGTGGGGGTGGAGCTGACACCGGTACTTGGGCCATGGGACTCAGGACCTAAGCTTGCAGGCCAGAGCCTAAGCTGGCGAGTGAGGCATGCATGGCGCCACATAGGCTGCCCCTTTTACTAACAGTGCGGGCGGAGCCGCCCCCTCAGTGCCCTCCTGTCTGACTGAGTTCAGTCCCCAGGCAGAGCCCCGGGAACCTGCCCTGGAAGGTGGGCATCCCAGCAATGGAATTGCAAAGCCATCCACCTCCATGACCTCGCCATGGCTGAACTTGGCACCCCAGTCCAGCCCGTCCACTGTGCACTCTCACCGGTGAGGATGGGGCCTTCCACTCTGCCCCCTGTTACCATCCTGGCTGCTTCAAATCCTGGTGGGCATTGGAGGCGGGTTAGAGGCAGGTGGGTGAGGTTAGTGGGGTTGGAACCAGTGAATGGCTCAGTGTGGAGATGGATACAAAAAAAAACTACACAGGTGGCAACACTGTCTAGCTTTAATACACCAGTAGGGTTTAAACGGCAAACCCTTCTGTATGGGCTAAACCCCCGTTCACGCTGCCATGCCCCCAACCCCCAGGCATTTCTAGCCTGCTCACCTCTTAACCACATCCTCTCCTCTCCCCCACAGGCCCAGCTCCCTGTTTCCTGCTTGTCCCTGCTTCACACAGGGCCTTTGAACATGCCCTTCCCTGGCCTTCTCTGCCCTGCTGAGTTCTTTAAGATTCCACACGGCTGTGACAATCAACTGCCTACACAGGGCCTGCACAGAGCAGGTGTTTACAACGTGCTGATGGACCTGGGGTCTCCTCCTCCCCTCTTTCCCCCTCATTCCTCCACTTCTAGGCTGACCCCTCTTGCTAAAGTGTTGGCCGGTAAGATTAGAAAGCAGAAAGAAAGGCAGCTTTGTATGCAGTGCCTGGTCTGGTTATGCAGAAACGCATGCTCCTGTGGAATACCCAGACGGCATGAGACCGTGCCCCGGCGCTATCCACACCGCCTTAAAGTTGGGGTCCATTTTTGTATGAGACGTGATATCAGGACACAAGGCGATGTTGCAATGCATAGCTGTGTCCTGAAATGTCCAGTCAGGGCGACTCTTGTGTTGGTCACCCTAGGTGCTGAGCATTTTTGTGTGGGGGAGGCTATTCCCGATCCTTTCTTTGTGTTTTGGACATACCAACATATTATTGTTAACATAGTCACCCTACGGTGGAACGAACACCTCTCCTGCTCTAACATTGCGCCTGTGCATCAACCTCACCCCATCCTCTCCTCCTTCCTGTCATTCTGGGCCCCTGGCAATCACTATTCCACTCCCAACTTCTAGAAGACCAACTGCTTTAGACTCCCCATCAGCTGATCCCATCTCTCTGTGCCTGGCTTGTCTTTTTTTTAATATGCTTTTTTTTTTTTTGACAGGCAGAGTTAGACAGTGAGAGAGACAGAGAGAAAGGTCTTCCTTCCTTTGGTTCACCCCCCAAATGGCTGCCACCGCCGGTGCGCTGCGCCGATCCGAAGCCAGGAGCCAGGTGCTTCCTCCTGGTCTCCCATGCAGGTGCAGGCGCCCAAATACTCGGGCCATCCTCCACTACCTTCCTGGGCCACAGCAGAGAGCTGGACTGGAAGAGGAGCAACCAGGACTAGAACCCGGCACCCATATGGGATGCCAGCACCACAGGTGGAGGATTAACCAAGTAAGTCACGGCGCTGGCCTGTCTTACTCACCATAGCATTCTCCTGTCCGACACGCGGGCAGGATCTCATCCTTTCCACGCTGATCAGTAGTCTGCATAGACCCTGCATGTTCTTTACCCATTCATCTGTCCACGGACACTTCTGTTCACTCAGTTCTTGGCTATTGTGACGACCGTGATAAAAGAGCAAAGCACTTGTCTGCCCACTGATTTCATTTCCTTTGGCTGCATCCCTGGTAGTGAGATTTCTGAATCATATGGTACTGCTATTTTTTAATTTTCTGGAGGACTCTCCATACTGTTTCCCACAGTGCCTATGCTAATTTACATTCCCACCAACAATGCATCAGAGTCTCCTTTCTCTGCCAGCACGTGCTATCTTTTGTCTTTTTGACAGTAGCCATTCGAACAGATGTGAAGTGTGTTTGATTTGCATGTCTCTAGTGACTAGTGATATTGAGCATCTTTCCATACGACTCCTGGCCCTTGGTGCGTTCCCTTCTGAAGAAACGTATACTCAGCTCTTTCGCCTATGTTTAAACAGAGTTATTCTGTGCGTGCTGTTGAGCCCCTTACATAATTGGGAATGTAACCCCTCAGCAGATGTGGTTCACGAATGTCGCTTCCCGTGCTGCTACCTGTCGGTTCACTCTGTTGACTGTTCCTTTGCTGTGTTTGTTGCAGTCTCATTTGTCTACTTCTAGGTTTATTGCCTATGCTTTTTGAGGTCGCACCACCTAACTTCCTGCCCAGACCAGGGTCGTGAAACTTTCCCCTATGTTTTCTTCTAAAAGTCTCAGAGTTTGGATTCTCACAGTTAAGTCACTAATTAATTATATTTACACTTCTTTTTCATTTTATTAGAAAGACGGAGAGATGAGAAGAGAGACGGGCACAGAGAGATCTTCCGCCTGCTGGTTCATTCCCTAAATGCCTTCAACAGCAGAGCTGGGTCAAGCGGAAGCCAGATCCTGGAACTCCACCTGTCTTCCACGAGGGTGATGGGAGGCGAGCACTTGAGCCATCACCCTGTGCCACCCAGGGAGCACGCTAGCAGGAAGCGGAATCCTGGTGGAGGAGCTAGGACTCACGGCAGGTACTCTGATATGGGTTGTGGGCATGCGTGGGGTGGCTTAAGCACTGTGCAGACACTCGCCCCTTCATCCTCCCGTCCACTGTGCGTGTGTCATTACAGCTTACCTAAGCCCCTCACGGGTAGTGCACGGTCAGTTTTCTAAAAGCCTAGTCGACTGCTGTAGGACTTCTCACTGGAAAATATTTCATTTACATTCAGTATGATTGTGTGTAGGTAAAGAAGTAGTACTGCCATTTAAAAATTGTTTTCTGGCGGTTTTGTGTGTCCTTTCTTCCTTTCTCCCGTCGTGTTTTCCCTGTGCTTAAGTCATTTTCCCTAGTGCTATGCTTGGATCGCTTCTTTGTATTTTTAGCGTGTCAATGATAGGTTTTTGCTCTGCGGTTACCGTGAGGCTTACAAAGAATGCCGTATAGTTCTAATGAGCAGTTTTAAGCAGGTAACAACCGTGGTTGCATTAAAACTACTATACCACACTGCAAAGGTTCTCTGCCCTCTCTTGTCTCATTCTGAACTTTTGATGCCACAATTTCACATTGTGTATCACTTAGCAAATTAGCATAGTTATTTTTATTTTAATGGTTTTGCCTTTTACTCTTCGCACTAAAGATATTGTGAATTTGAATATATACTACTTTTTCTTTTAAAGATTTGTTTATTTATTTGTAAGGCACAGTTATGTAGAGAAGGGGGAGGGAGGGGAAAGCAGGAAGGGGAAGGGGGAAGAGAGAGAAAGAGAGAGAGGGAGAGAGAGAGAGAGAGAGAGATCAGCCATCTGATGGTCATTCCCTAAATACCTGCAATGGCCAGGGTTGGGCCAGTCACAAGCCAGGAGCCTGGGCCTCCGGCGTGTGTGCAGGGACCCAAACACTTGGCCCATTTTCTGGTGCTTTCCTAGACGCATTAGCAGAGAGCTGGATTGGAAGCTGAGCAGCGTCCCGTCAGTGCTCCTGTGCGACACTGGGGTCTCAGGCGTAGAGCGTACACTTCTGCAGTGGGTCTGACGGCTGCAGGTGTCTTTGTGCTACTCATGAACATTCTTGTCTTTCAGCTGGGAGAGCCCTGGTTAGCATTTCTTTAAGGCAGGCCAGGTGGCCATGAACTCTCCTAGTCTATCTGGTGACGTCTCTATCTCCCTTTTGTTTCTGAAGGACAGGTTTGCTGGGCACCCTATCCTTGGTCCACAATGTTTTTCTATCAGCACTTGGAATACATCATTCCACCCTCTCCAGGTCTCCTGGGAGAAGTCTGGGGCCATCTATGCTGAGAGTCCTTTATATTCTGTTTGCTTCTTTTTCTTGCTGTATTATACCCCCTCCCTCTCTTCCTGACAGTTCACTTATATGATGTCTTGGGGTAGTCTGATTCGGACAAAATCTCACTGGTGTGACCTTTGAGCTCCCTCTTGATGAAAGGTCACATCTCTCCCCATATACGGAAAGTTTCCTGCCATCATTTTAAAAATAAGCTTTCTATACCTTTGTCTCTCTCTCATCCCTCTTTTTTTTATTTTTATTTTTTGACAGGCAGAGTGGACAGTGAGAGAGAGAGACAGAGAGAGAGAAAGGTCTTCCTTTGCCATTGGTTCACCCTCCAATGGCCGCTGCGGCCGGCGCACCACGCTGATCCGATGGCAGGAGCCAGGTACTTATCCTGGTCTCCCATGGGGTGCAGGGCCCAAGCACTTGGGCCATCCTCCACTGCACTCCCGAGCCACAGCAGAGAGCTGGCCTGGAAGAGGGGCAACTGGGACAGAATGCGGGGCCCCGACTGGGACTAGAACCCGGTGTGCCGGTGCCGCAAGGCGGAGGATTAGCCTGTTGAGCCATGGCGCCGGCCCCTCTTATCCCACTTTATTGCTAAAATCTTGTACATTTCTGATGTTATCCCATAAATCTCATAAGCTTTCTTCATTCCTTTTCGTTGTTTTCTTGAGGGAGTTTCTTAGAATGGCCCCTTTGATTCTGTATCAGAGAGGTCGCATATCTCCATCCCACTGAGGGGAGTTGTGGCATTGCATTTTGTCTGTTTGATGTGGGAGTGTTTCTCTGCTTGTTCTTTCTTTTTTTTTTTTTAAGATGTATTTTATTTATTTGAAAAACAGAGTTACAGAGAGAGGCAGGTCCATCCACTGGTTCACTCCCCAAATGACTGTAATGGTCAAAGTTGAGTTGATCCAAAGCCAGGAGCCAGGAGCTTCTTCCAGGTCTCCCATGTGGGTGCAGGTCCTTGGGCCATCTTCTACTGCTTTCCCAGGCCATAGCAGAGAGCTGGATCGGAAGAGGAGCAGCCGGGACTTGAACTGGCACCCCTATGCGATGCTGGCTCTGCAGGCCAGGACTTTAACCAGTTGCGCCACAGCGCCAGCTCCTACCTGACTGTTCTTGACACTTGCACACATGCATCAGTGTCCGCTTGTTGTGGAGCTGAGTACTGACTTCTCTCTTTGCGGTCCCCTTGGTTTATGCCTGTCTTTCTTTACCAGGCCTGTCTGGAAGTCTGATTCCAGAGTCAGGTGAGCACTGGAGGCATCCTAAGTAGGCCCAGACGCACTATAAGAGTCCTGCAAGGCTGGCACAGCACCTTGGCTTGGAAGGACATGGGGAGTCCCAGGTAGGGAACAAGGGCTGTGTGGGAAAGGTAGCCAAGGACCAGAGCCTGGAAGCTTAGCTTGTAGCCCACATGGGTTTGTCTTCCAGGAGATCCCTGCATAGATGGGACAGTCCCCTGACGGCAGTGATGGGGGTGGGGGGTGGGGGTTAGAGTGAGCTGTGAGACAGAGGCCAGCATGGATCTCACAACAGCCCCCTCTACAGGTGAGTGCAAAGGAAGGGGCTGGGGCACAGACTGAGAACCTTCCCAGTGCACTTGTCAGGAGGCGTGGGTTCCCCTGGGCTGGGAGATATGGGGTGGGAGATATGGGGAGGTATCCCACTGGTCCTTTTAGCAGTGCAACTAAGCTGGGGCTGCAGCCGAGGGGGCTGGAGCTGGGCCACAGGGGCTCTTTGAGGCCCACCGCCGAGACTGAAGTGAATGGGCAGATGAGCATCTCTGTGGAGGCACCAGGGTGCACACAGGGTTGACCTTGACTCTCTTGGCAGGTGGTGGGGACGGCAGGCACAAGGGAGAAAAGGCTATAGCCAAGCCCCCTGGGGGAATAGGACCAATTTCCAGGCTTGAATCCAGAGGCATGATTGGCGGGTCTGCCGCCAGGCTGTGGGTGTGCACTCCCGAAATGACCCTTTGCAAAGCTTGGACTCCACGAGACTTCCACAGCGCCAGCCACCATCCGGAGGCTCCCACTAAGAGACTTTTCTCTGGGCAAAGGTGCAGCCTTTCTGTTGTCTGGGAACAGCAGTATGTCCCAGTGGGACAACTTGCTGATTTTGATAAACACTAGTTTAGAACATTCCCTTTAGGATTTGTTTCTCAACCAAGTTGCAGATGCAGTTTTTGTGTCATTATTGTTTTTTACTATAGTATTGCTGTTCATATTCCAAAGTGATTTTTCATGATTTCATACCACGCAAGTAAGTGTTCTGAAACTGTCACGTCATGGGGTCATTTTCCTAATGTTGGTCATTAAGTAGTTTACGACCTTTACTGGTGGAATCAGACCAGGAAAATTATCGTTGGGAAGGGATATTTACGAAGCAGCTGCCATGTTGGTTTTGCTAATTGTTCCAGAGGAGGAAACACCGGGATCATCGACAGGAAGTCGCTTTCCCGGAGTGCCAGAGCTAGTGGGCGCTCCAGCCGGGATAAACAGAGGGCTCACTTAGCACCTGCCGGGGAACTTAGGACCCTCAGTGTCTCACACCGGGGGTCTCCATCAGTGTCTCACTCCCTGGGCCTCGCGCATCTGGAGGAAGAGTGTTTGCCGCTTGCACTGAGTCGCTGCTGGGTCCCTTGTGTTGAGTTAAAATGAAGACCTGGGAGGTGACTCAGAACCCAGCGGCGAGGGAGGGCTACAGGCTGCTGGTTAGGGGCAGGTGTCTCCCGCCCCCTCCTCCACCTCCAAGTCCTGTGTTGCTGCACACGCAGGGCCAGGCCACGGCTTCACAGCACGCTCGTGCCATCTCAGGACCCGGGCTCCAGCCTCCTGCCATGGACAAGTCCCTCCCTTTCTCTGACTTGTCTCGTCTGCAGGAGGCACCTTGCTCCAGGGTTGCTAGACAGGGAGGGCTTGAGCACAGTGCTGGCCCACAGTTCTTGCTGCCCGGTGTGGTCCTGAGGGGCTGCAAGGCTGCAGGGAGGAGGGCTGTGCTGCCCACACCCCTCCCTCAGAGCTGGGAGAGGGCTCCAGCTGTCCCCTAGGAGGCTCTGAGAATGCCTCCTGCCTTAGGACACCTTCCCTGGAGGCCATTATCCGGTCCCAGCCTGATCCTTGTCTTGGCTTTGGAACGCTCCAGCCCCATCACTCATCTCAAGGTCTGGACCGATTGCATTGTAAGAAGCACAGCAGGTCCCTGCCAAGAGTCTGGGCCGTCCCCAGTCAGCACAGCAGAGGCTCCCCGCAGGTCCCTGCTGATGTCCTAGGCAGCCTGTGTGCTTGTGGTGTAGACACCCCAGAGCGGGAGGCAGATGAGGCGGAAGCGAATTACGAGGAGTGGGGGCCAGGTGGTGGCAAGAGCTGTGGGGACGATTCCAGGTGATCAGGGCACAGTGCAGGCAGGGTTAGCACAGGGAGTGGACAGCTCAGGTCCTTGGGGGCGGGGCGCTTGTCTCATCCCCTTCTGAGCTGTGTGTCCCTTTCTACCTGTACTATAGTTGCTTGTAGATTCCGTTTCTCTGCATGTGCACAAAAGCCACGAGGTTGTGGCCCACTGACCCCTGTGACCTGCAAGGGCTCCACCATGATGTGTTTGTTGACTTGAGTCAGATTTAACTGAAACCATGTGGAAGCCGATGACACATGATGCAAGTAGAATTAGCTTTAGTTGTTATCACTAATGCTTGCCCAGACTCACGAGGGTGCAACAGCAGGGAGTGTGAATTTATAGAACTGGAGCAGGGACTCCACACTGAGTACTTGTGAAGTTAAAAGGGCAACCCATCGGCTAGGAGACCAAAGAACCCAAGAGACATGGGTGCAGTCTCTGGGGAAAGGGATTTGTTTTATTTTTCATTTATTTGAAAGGCAGAACTAGAGAGAGAAGAGAAACACACAGACAAATGTTCCATCTGCTGCTTCACTCCTCAAATGGCCACAACTGGGCCAGGACGAAGCCAAGAGCTTCTTCTGGGTCTCCCACATGGGTGTAGGCACCCAAGAACTGGGGCCATCTTTGCTGCTTTCCCAGGCACAGTAGCGGGGAGCTGGATCGGAAGTAGAGCAGTCGGGTCTCGAACCAGCACCCATGAGGGATATTGGCATCACAGGTGGTGGCTTACCCTGCTGTGCCACACGCTGGCCCCTAAAGAAAGGGATTTGGAAATAGATGTCCAGGGGTATGGGTGTTTGACTGCCTTGTCCTGGGAGGAGGCCTCGTGTTCAAGGAGCCGTGCTGGTCCCAGATCACTGAGGCTCTGTGGACAAGGTTTGTGCAGGCTTTGTGATGTGGCTTCCGTGTTTCTCATCATCACAAAACGGTGGGTGCCGGTACTAGTACTGTTACCCAGCGTGGACACCACAGCGGGGGTGGGGAGGAGAACTTCTGCTTCTGAAGACGCAGTGCCCCCTGGCGGTGTAAGCCTCACACAGCCAGGAGTGCTCGCACTTCAGCGCCAAGTCCTCAAACCACAGTGGTTTTGGAACCGCCGGGAAACATCAGAGAAAGTCTGAACCAGGCATCTCATCCAGGGCCAGGGAAACAGAGGTGACGGAGGCTGTCGTCCATAGTACGATCGCTTGTCAGGTTCAAACCTTTCTTCATCACACGCTGTTGGCTGGAGCTTCTTCTCCCCTAACTGTCCATCATCATCGCGAGCAGCGTCTGTGAGCATGCCAAACAGTGGGCCCTGGGAGCTCAGAGCTTCCTGTAGCCCTGTCTGATGAAGAACACATGGAAAGCAATCCCACAGGCTCCCCGGAGGTGAATTTGTGTCCAGTTACATCCGGGATTATATGAATCCATTGGTGCATGACCAACCCATCCTTTGCTGCCCTTGGAGCCCATTTTGGTCCGATTCAGGTTTGGGACACTCCTGTTTCCTCCGCCTTGAAGCCAAACCCGAGCCAGCGCAGTTCCAGCGGCCTGGGATCGTCTTTCTCCGACAGGAAGGGCAGCCTGTGTGCTCACGGCAGGCACACCCCAGAGCAGGAGACCAACGAGGCGGAAGCAAATTACGATGAGTGGGAGCCAGGTGGCGGCAAGAGCTATGGCGAAGATTGAGGTTGAGAAAGCAGGTAGCGGTTGGAGGAGGAAGAAGTTGAGTTCATCCATCCGGATGCAGTGGTGCCTCGCCAAGGGTCAGGGGCCTGAACAGGGAGCCGTGTGGACAACCACGGGAGAAGGGCCCATGGCTCTAGACCAGGACACATCATGGCACCTAACCCGTCTCGCTTCCGAGCCTCGTGTCCCCTTCTGTCCGGGTTAGAAGGTTGTTTGCATATCTGGTTCAGGTCTCTGCGACGACTCCTAGAAGCTGCCGTGCTCAGAAACCATGAGGCCACGTCCCTGTGAAACTGTGGCCGCCTAGGGCCCTGCAGCGATGAGCCCTCAAGGCCATCCATGTTTGTGGATGTGAGTCAGCAAGCAGAAGCCCTAACACACTGTGCAAGCAGATTTCGTTTTGATTGGCATTATTAAGGATGGCCAGACTCCTGAGGCTGACCCACCTCCGCCATTTTCCTTTTCTTTTTCTTTCTTTCTCTCTTTTTTTTTTTTTTTTTTTGAAGATTGATTTATTTACTTGAAAGTCAGAGTTACACAGAGAGAGGAGAGGCGGAGAGAGAAAGAGGTCTTCCATCTGCTGGTTCACTCCCCTGTTGGCTGCAACGGCTGGAGCTGCGCCGATCCGAAGCCAGGAGCCAGGAGCCAGGAGCCAGGAGCCAGGAGCCAGGAGCCAGGAGCCAGGAGCCAGGAACAAGGAGCCAGGAGCAAGGAGCCAGGAGCTTCCTCCAGGTCTCCCATGCGGGTGCAGGGCCCAAGCACTTGGGCCATCCTCCACTGCCTTCCTGGGCCACAGCAGAGAGCTGGCCTGGAAGTGGAGCAGCTGGGACTCTATCTGGCACCCATATGGGATGCTGGCACTGCAGGCCAGGTCATTAACACGCTGTGCCACAGTGCTGGCCCCTTCCTTTTCTTTTTCTTATTACGAATCGTCGCTGCAACCTACACATGTGAGAGCATAAAACAGTGGCCTTGGGAGCTCCCAGCTTCCCCTAGCCCTCTCTCCAAGCCAATCCATTGCCTTCCAGAGGGTGGATAATTACGTATCATTAGGTCTAGCATTGTAGGGAAACCTGTGCTCTGTGGCTCATGTACCCCCTCCGGTCCTTGGAGCCCATGTGGGGTCCAGGTCCCCCTGCTCTGCACCGGCCTCGAGACCAGGCCAGGGTCCATGCAGCTCCAGCTGTAGGAAGGTCCCTCTGCTAGAGGAGAGCTTGTTTCCTCCTGCGAGGGCTCCCCCTGCCTGAAGTCCCGCCCCGAGGAATCAGCCCTTTGAATCAAACACTGATCTCTAGAGAGTGTTGCTGACTCCCAGAAATGGAACGCCAAAGCCGCAAAATCAGCCCTAAGAGCTGCCACATACTGAATTTTGAGTCCATGCCTAAGAAACTTGAGGGTGAGGGCGCCCCAGGGTTGGCCTGGGCTGGACACGGGGGGTTGGGGTGGCCTGGGAAGGAGCATGAGGGAACCTTCTGGGCTGTTGAAAGCATTTGATTTCTTGGTTTTAGTGGTGCTTGTATTTGTCCTGAACTTGGGAAAACTGAACAGATGCGCATGAGTGACTTCATTTCCTGTAATGTTTCCCATCCTAGAATTAATTTTGCAATTGCTGCTTTGGAGGTTGTTGTATGGACTTAAATTTATTTCCAGTTCCTATGGGTCGGCACCAAGGAGTTTAGGTGTTGCATCCCACGGTGAGCCAATGTTTCCTTTCGTAAGAAACTGCCCAAGTGGTTGCCCGAAGTGGCTGTGCCAGTTTCCGTCCCCACCAGCCATGGATGACAGTTCCTGCCGTCCTCAGCCTCAGCTGCACGTTGGGGATATTGGTGCCCTGGGTGTTGGCTGTTCTGGTTGGCACATGGTCCTATCTCCTTGTGGCAGTTCCCCATGGCCTGTGACACGGAGCATCTCATGTGCTTGTTTGTGGTGCGTGTCTATGCAGCTCTTTTGCCCATTTTTGAACTAAGCATTGGGCTGTTAGTGTTCCTTGTGTATTTTGGACCCAAGTCCTTTTTCAGATATGCATTTTGAAAGGGTTTCCTCCCCATCAGTGTCTTGTCTTTTCATTTTCCAATTTTTCACCATGCACCTAGAATGCCATCACATCTCCCTGTCTCCTTGAGTGTGTGTGTGTGTGTGTGTGTGTGTTAATGAGCAGCATTTAGGGAGTGGTTAGGGCCGGTGTTGTGGCATAGCAGGTTAAGCCACTGTCTGCAGTGCTGGCATCCCATATGGGCACCAGTTCCTGTCCTGGCTGCTCTGCTTCCCAGCTAGTGCACCTGGGAAAAGCAACAGCAGGTGGCCCAACTGTACGGGGCCCTGCATCCTCGTGGGAGACCCCATGAAGCTGCTGGCTTTAGCCTGGTTCAGCTGTGGCTGTCGTGGCCCCTTGGCGAGTGAACCAGCAGATGGAAGACCCCCCCCATCTTTCTGCCTCTCCCTCTCTCTGTGTAACTCTGCCTTTCAAATAAATAAATATATAAATCTTTAAAAAGAAGTGGGGAGGAGGGGGGCACTCAAATGAATATCACTCAATGCAATCCTCTAGGAGCTTCCATTTTGATTTGGGAAAGAACAATGACTTGAGTGTGGAATAATAAGAAGAAAAAAATCAAGAGGAGACTCAGAGCACAGTGCCTTGTCCCATGCACTGAGGGAGCCCGGGGAGACTGGAGGGTCACTGGGGCATCGAGAAGAGGGAAGGAACTGGACCGGCTGGGAGGAAGGGGCAGTGCATTCTGGGCTCAGGGGTGGGTGGCAGTGGCATCAGAGTGGCACAGACGGGAGATCAGCTTTACTCTTCCTCACGCTACAGGGCATCCCAACACTGGCTGGAGGAATGGCTGTGGAGCCCCCAAATTTGGCCCTGCTCCCCCAGCACGCAGCAAGCCCATTACTGATACTGGGGTGGTGGAAGGGAGTGGGAGGCATGTATTTCAAAGTCCAGAGCATGGAGCTGGGCTGCTATTGCTTAGTTCCAGGGCTCCTCGAAGGGTTCATGGTGAAGGTGCTTACAGCTTGAAGTTGGGCCCGGGAGGTGTGTGTTCCGTTCCTGTCCAAGCGCCTCGTTGGCCGTCAGTGTTTGTTGGCAATGCTATGTTCTTTACGGAATTTTGATGATGACAAAGTGGGCACCATGAGTCTCGGGGCTGTGTGCCCGTGGTGGTTACCTCTTGCTCAGGGCCTGGGTTCCAGGAATGGAAACCCCTCAAGACAAAACCGAACATCAAAGTGTTATCTATGGGGAGATAAATGATGTTGTAAATCTTTTCTTCCCCCTAAAGACTTAGTGTTTTATCTAATTGAAAAACAGAGTTACAGAGACAGGAGGGGGGAGAGAGAGCAAGTGTGTGAGAGAGAGAGAGAGATCGAGATATCTTCCATCTACTGGTTCACTCCCCAAATGGCTGCAATGGCTGGGGCTGGGCTGGGCCAGGCTGAAGCCAGGAGCCTGGAACTTCTTCCAGACCTTCCACATGGGTGCAGGGGCCCAGGCACTTGGGCCATCTTCTGCTGCTTTCTCAGGCTCATTAGCAGGGAACTGGATCAGAAGTGGAGCAGCCAGGAGTCGAACTGGCGCCCATACGGGATGCCGGCACTGCAGGCTGCGAGCAGCTTAGCCTGCTACCCTACAGCGCCACCCCAGTCTCATGAGTCGTGTGTGCCTGTAGGGCCAGGTGCATCCCGCTCTCAATGCCGTGAGTGAGTTTTAGTGAGAGGTGATTGACCAATCATCAATACAAGGCAGGGAACCTTTAAGCCAAGGGAGGGAGCCCCGAGGGCCGTGGAGACCAGGACCAGGTGCGATCTGGCAGCGATGGGCAAGGCACTGACCGGGGCTCTGTGCCACTCCTGAAGGGAGGCCCCAGGACACCTGGCAGCGGGGTGGGGCCAGAGTCAACCCTGGCCGTTTGGACAGGAATGCAGCGTGTGCGCAACAGGTTCTGCAGACAAACCTGGCCGACGCTGTAATTGTGTTGCTTCCCAGAAATTCCTGCTGGCTCCCAGCGCTGCAGCCAGCATCCCGCTGAGAGAGGAGGCAGCCTTTCCCATAGCACAGTCAGATAGAGGGAAAGAAAGAGAGAGAAAAAAAAAAACACACCAGCAAACCTGGGGCGCATCTCCTTCCCAGACCTGTGGCTTCCGCCAGCTCTGACCACCTGGTCTCACAGAAGCAGCTGAACACAGGCTAGACCCAAACGGCAGCTTCCAGGCAGAGCCGGCTTTCGGGAGCACCCGGGCGCCAGGCCGCAGCCCAGGGCGCCTGGCCAGTGCCCCGGAAAGCCTCTGAGCCGCTGCCCAGGTGGCTCAGGGTTGGCTGAGGACACAGCCTGACTGCATCGCATTCCAGTTCCTGGTATTTATGAGCCTCCTTCATGCCCAGATCCGATTCAGTGCCACGGTGGAGGCAGGGGAGGGGCCCACCCTGAAGGGAGGGGCCCACCCCGCTCCCCTGCATCTCCCTGCTCCCGGGTGACGAGGCCCCATGTTTGGGGTGTGCCTTTGCCATTCACGTTCCCTCTGTTTCTCATTTCTTGCCTGCCCGTGAACTTCCTGAACAGGTCTAGGGTTCCATTGTGATGCATTTCTAGTGCACTCTGAGTTTATCGCTGTGTGTAGTTTTCTTAAGGATTGCTCAAGGAGTTGGAGTCTATGTGAGGATACTTCATAGACACCTGGGCAGCGGAATTCAAAAAGGACTTTATTTCAGTGCAGAGGTTTTTGAAGTCCGTGCAGAGATTGTGCATAATACACACTTGTCATGAACTTGTTGAAGACCCCTCGTCCACATGACGTCACTGTCATTGTTTTCCTGCCTGTTTTTAAAATTTAAAAAAAAAAGATTTATTTATTTATTTATTTGAAAGTCAGAGTTACACAGAGGAGAGGCAGAGAGAGAGGGAGAGAGAGAGAGGTCTTCCATCCACTGGTTCACTCCCCAGTTGGCCGCAACAGCTGGAGCTGTGCCGATCCGAAGCCAGGAGCCAGGAGCTTCCTCTGGGTCTCCCACGTGGGTGCAGGGGCCCAAAGAGTTGGGCCATCTTCTACTGCTTTCCCAAGGCATTAGATGATGTTAAATATTTTGCCTCAACCATCAAATATGATGGAGGAAGCCCATGAGAATACTGTAGTATATTTAACTCTTGTTTTTTTTTCCCCCATTCTGGTGTTCTTCTCGCCTTTCTGAAGTTCAAATCTCGCTTTCAATCCTTTCTCTTCTGTTTTGAGAAATTCCTGTACACCTGCCTTAAAGACAGGTTTGCTTGTGTCAAATTCTCTTCATTTCCCTTCAACCAGCACTGTTTTTCTTTTTCCTCCTCATTCTAATGAATATGTCCAATATGTCCACCGGATATAAAAGTTATGATTGACAGTTTTCAAAAAATCTTCAGTTCTCAGGCCTCTGTGGCTTCCGTTGGCATTTGAATGGATATTCTGTCATCAGTTATGTGTTGCTTTTCTCTGCTCCTGGGATTATCTGCCTTTAGTTTTCATAGGTTTAATTACGATGTTTCTTGGTATGGCTTTTGAAAAGTCCTATTTGGGGTTTGCGTAGCTTCTTTAGTCAGTAGGTGTGCTAAATTTGGGACTTGTGCTAAATTTAGGACTTCCCGGTCATTATTTCTGTGAAACACTTTTTCTCCCTCCCTTTCTTTGATTTCAAGGATATGAACAGCAGCTCTCTGTGTCCCTAAAACTCGCTCGCTTCTGTCTCAGCATACCTGCAGTCTGTTGTTCAGACCAGCTAAATTCTACTTACGTCTCCTCGTGTTCTCCAACTCCATCCTAAGGGACCTCTGCTCCCTACTATTGAAGCCATGGAATCATTCCTTTTTTTTTTTAAGAGATTTATTTATTTGTTTGAAAGACAGAGAGGCAGAGAGAGAGAGAGAGAGAGAGAGAGAGAGAGAGAGGTCTTCATCTGCTGGTTCAACTCCCCAGTTGGCTGCAATGGCTGGAGCTGCGCTGATCCAAAGCCAGGAGCCAGAAGCTTCTTCCGGGTCTCCCACGTGGGTGCAGGGGCCCAAGGACTTGGGCTGTCCTCCACTGCTTTCCCAGGTCACAGCAGAGAGCTGGATTGGATGTGGAGCAGCCAGGACTTGAGTGATCTCTGTATGCACTGTGAAGCAACCCCACTGGACCCTGGTTAGCTCCCTGTCTGAGCTTGGCAAGGCAGAACACACTCACACTCAGAAAATCACAGGGATCTGGCTTATTCCTCAAAGGCAGGCAGTGAGAAACAGCAGCAGCCTATGATGCGTGAAGAGCAGTCACACCACACTCAGGACAACTTCTCAGGGTGGGTGGGCTCCCAGCTGCAGACACAGCCTCAGGCACTCAGAACGCAGTGCATCTTGGATCTTACATCTCAGGGCAACAGGGATCCCTGGGCTGGAGCCTGGAACACCCTGGAACACAGGGCTTTTCACATGCCTAAGACCTTCTACAGTTTTTTTTTTTTTTTTTTCATGCAGAGTGGACAGTGAGAGAGAGAGACAGAGAGAAAGGTCTTCCTTTTTGGTGTTGGTTCACCCTCCAATGGCCGCCACGGCCAGCGCACCGCGCTGATCCGATGGCAGGAGCCAGGTGCTTCTCCTGGTCTCCCATGGGGTGCAGAGCTCAAGCACTTGGGCCATCCTCCACTGCACTCCCTGGCCACAGCAGAGAGCTGGCCTGAAAGAGGGGCAACCGGGACAGAATCTGGTGCCCCAACCGGGACTAGAACCTGGTGTGCCGGTGCCGCAAGGCGGAGGATTAGCCTAGTGAGCCACGGCGCCGGCCTACGGTTATTCTTAAGAACTACTAGTGGAGAAGGTGAGGCATAGTGACGGATCAGCTCCACTTCATATTGTGTCGCAAGTCTCCTTGGGGCCTGATGCAAGTGGAGGCTCAGCTTGTGCTGCCCCCTGCTCTGGGCATGGGATGGAAGGCCCGCTCTTTGCTGGTTCCGCCGCCACCACCAGGCAGGGCAGTCACAGTGCCCCTGTCTGCTTCTGCTTCCCACTCTGCCCTGCTGAACCCGCAGGGGCCACAGTTCCCATCTTCTGCTGAGGTTTGGAAGGAGCAGGATGGACTTTGCTGTAAGGGTTTTGTGTTGTACTGCCCTTTTCCAGGTCCGCTGGCTGGGGAGGGAGAGAGGCATTTCTGGAAGCAATTTTTAAAGGAAAGATTTATTTGAAAGAGTTGCATAGAGACAGGGGAAGGAGGGTGGGAGGGAGAAAGAGAGAGAGAGAGAGAGGTATCTTTTATGCGCTGGTTCAATTCCCAGATGGCCTCAATGGCCAGGGCTGGGCCAATCCAAAGCCAGGAGCCAGGACCTCCTTCTTGGTCTCCCATGTGGGTGCAGGGGCCCAGGCTCTTGGGCCATCCTCTGCTGCTTTCCCAGGCCGTTATCAGGGAGTTGAATCAAAAGTGGA